CAAGAAGTGCTTAGTTTTGTAAGGAAAATCGCACATTTAACGGTATGGTCATAATCATAGGATGTTTCACAGTAGACCTGGACGAGTACGCAGAAATTAGGTCAGCAATGGTTAGGACTGGTTTGAATTAGGAACTGATGGCACTTTGGTAAGGCAAAGAGATCAACACACCAAGGGAAGTACCGAGGAAAGTCCTTAGTCTTGTAGGACTAAGTGCACGTTCAAAGGTACGGATATAATCATTGGAGGTCCCAAAATAGACTTATAAAAGACACAATGGAGAAAAGTTTTTTTTTTTTTTTTTTTTTTTTTTTTTTTTTTTTTCAAATTGGGGATTATCTACCCCAACACATTACATTCATGCCTTAGGAAAAAGGTGTATCATAGATTCTTAGAATATAACCCTGATCTCCAATTTGGTTTCCGGATACTCCGCTCAATATATGAGGTAGTACTGTTCAGCATGATACTCACCACCCTGGCTGCTGTCATAGCTCAAAAACACCAATCCTGTTACATATTACATAATAACCTTGTTGGACCACCTCAAGGTAGCGTTCTATATCCTGTCCTTTAGCAGATATAAAGCTGACATATATCTTGACCTTTTTTACTGCTGATGGCAAATCAGTCAACTGTCAAACAAATGTTGTCAATTCCTCCATTAACCTCCAGCAACATCTTAACCTAACCGAGCAATGATACAAAGAAACTTGTATCCAACAGGTGCGATATCTAGGGCTGTACCTGGTCAATCGACTAACCTGGAATCCCCAGACGCGAGTTAAAAGACGATGCAATGCCCTTTCAAAGCGACTTGATAAAAGATCAAATATGGCACTGGTAAATCAACTTGTTTACAGCACTTTAGTAAAATCTATTTGGACTTTTCGATTGGAACTTTGCGACTTGGCCAAACTTTAGTCATTGACACTATCCACAGTCGTCCTGGCCAGATACCTTTCAACAAAGACCTCCCTGTCACTCACTCCATTCATCCAACAGCTCCCATCCCTCAAAATTCCGTTAAATCCTACACTAAGATGAAAAGGCCTGTGATGTTTCTACAGTAATTATATTATACTTATTTCCCACAGCAACTGAGTAGTTGTGATATTCAATAATAAAAAAAAAATCGTTAACCTCCTGGTAAAACGACTTTCCTAATGTACCTTTTCTTAGGATGTTAGGAACTGTAATCAATCAGGCCACGGTCAGCAGTTTGTTAACTGCTGTAAATTGTATTTTCAAAACAAAGATTAATCTTTACAATTGTGGAAAGGGAGATAATTATCAATGTAATCATATACGTTTATTAAACTAAGAACTTTATTAACTAAGAAAAAAAGGTACAAATAACTGATAACACCGTCCAACATTCTTTAAAATAAATCGAACAAGCTTTAATTTTTTCTTTCTTGCTTCCTTCCTTCTTTTCTAAACCTTCTTCTTCCCTTGACTATATGTTTTCTCTCTCCCCCTTCCTCTCTCTCTCTCTCTCTCTCTCTCTCTCTCTCTCTCTCTCTCTCTCTCCCTCCTCTCTCACTCACTCACTCACTCACTCACTCACTCACCCTCCCTCCATCCATCCATCCATCCCTTTCCTCTTCTTAATTCTTCTTCTTAATTTTAATTTTTTCTTTCTTGCTTCCTTCCTTTTTAATTTTTTCTTTCTTGCTTCCTTCCTTCCTTTCTTCCTTCCTTCTTTTCTAAACTTTCTTCTTCCCTTGACTATATGTTTTCTCTCTCCCCCTTCCTCTCTTTCTCTCTCTCTCTCTCTCTCTCTCTCTCTCTCTCTCTCTCTCCATCTCTCTGTCTGTTTTCTCTTCCTCTCGTATTCCTTCTTTCACCCCTCCCCTCTCACTCTCTTTTTTTTAATTTCTCTCAAACATGTTAAACTTCGTTAGTATTGTTATTACATAGCGTTAGTAATATCATGAGGTATTAATTTTTTTCAGGACCTTTGACTTTTTCAAATTATAATCCCAATGGAAACACGTTTACATATCGATGTTAAGATTGAATCTTTTGTATTTTTGTTTGCAAGTGCTTTAAATCTGTTTCAATCTCCTGATCATCGATGACATGTACTTTGATGTTGTGATAGTACTTTTATCTATATTCGGTAGGGGAGAAAGGACAATTACGTAATATGTACCCATTTCGTGGTGCAACGGAGGAAAATCTGTTTTGACTCTTTATCTTAAATTTTACGACTTGCAACTCTAAAAAAAAGTCTAACGAGTCTAAGTTAAATTCGCCCAATTTCTTTCCGACGGACGCTAGCTGTAATTTCGTCCCACTCCACGATTTGACTTATGACAATTAACCCCATGGAATTAAAGAGTCCAACTTGGCAACACTTGTTTACATCTATTCCGTACTCGTTTGTGGTCCTTGTTCGTTTTTTTACAATCGGCGTTTCATTTAATTGTACAAGACGCCCTCAATGTGTCTTTAACATAAATTAGTAACGCACAGTAGGGAGCAAGTGTTAAAATCAACCGACAACAATATTTAAGCACCTTTTTTTGCCCTAAAAGTGCACTTGTGTGACTAATAAACCCTTATATATCAACTTACCTCGTCAAACAATGTAGCTTTAACGCAACATTATTTTTACCAATTACATTTTAATAAATTACAGCCAGAAGGCATAAGTCTTGAAAGGAATGTTCAACTCGTCGATAATGTTTTTTAGATTTAATTAAATACAAGGAAAATGGTTGAATTGCTGTGCAAATTTGTGCACTGCCCACGACTTGGTTCCTTCGGATAAGAATGTGCTCTATTCAGATCAAATTGAATCATCGTTTTTTGAACAATCAGTAATACACCAAAATTTGTTACGCCTTCGCCTTAAAATATATATAATTTTTTTTTCATTGATCGGAGCTGTTTTCATCAGGTCACACCATTTTTCAAGTACTGTTTACTTTAGACAAAGAGAAAGAGCGAGAGAGTAGAAGAGAGAAGGAGTGGTCGGGAGAGTGAGTGAGAGTGATTGTGAGGGATGTGTGAAGAACGATAGAAAATATTGTGAGGGTAAAGCCATAGTGAGGGGAAAGCCATGTGAGTGGAGACAAATACATAAAAATTTAGAAAACCAGTTACAAACAGAAAACTGAGATACAGAGAAATATTAATTAACCAAGAGAAATAACAACAAAGTAGGAACAGATAAATAGAGAAAGTGAGAGAGAACATAAACGGAAAGAAAGGAAGGAAGAATGAATGAGAGAGAGAGAGAGAGTGAGAGAGACAGACAGAGAAAGAGTGAGAGAGACAGACAGAGAAAGAGGGAGAGAGACAGACAGACAGACAGAGAAAGAGGGAGAGAGAGAGACAGACAGACAGAGAGGCAGACAAACAGAGAGAGAGAGAGAGACATACATACAAACACACAGAGAGAGAGAGAGAGAGATAAAAGACAAAAGTATTCAAATATTAAATGTTTACCCTCTATCCCCTTATCTCCTCGAAATATCTAAGTTTAAAAAAGATTTTAAAATTATCCATATAATAACATATTTCATAAAATATCAAGACAAATGAAAAATTTTAATTTAACAAGAGCACTAGACTCGTCACATTAGTCAAGTTTGTTCCAAAATTCCAACTGTATTTAGTTGTAGATTCGATAACGTGTTAACAAGAGACGAGAGAGTGATTGAGTGATAAATATAGATGTATAAGAAGGTGGATTTAATAATGAGTAGTAGCTGGAGTTGTTTTTCCGCAAAAATAAGAAAAAGAAAACTAAAAAGGCAGTACTTATATTTTTAAAATATGCTAAAAAAAATCCTTGTATGTTTGCAGACTGGAAATAAAAATATGAAGAAATTGAAAACATGACTTATGTTAACTTTTTGTAAAACCGCCAAAAAGAGCAAAATTATCAATAAGTTTCGATGAAACACACCAATTTAACAATCACACGATAAAAACTAATTGCAGCACAATAATTTTTTTTATATTTTTTTTATTTATTGCTATCTCTACGAAATAAATATACATTTGAAAAACAATATAGATAATTATATACAAATCTGACAGATCTGTCAAACCAGGAGGCAGTGGGGAGAGAAACTAGCCAGTGTTGGAACTTTTGTTTAGTTGGGAGGGTTGAGATAGGAGGAGGACGAAGCCATCGTCGTTTGACGGCGTGGATGACTACAAGGGTGGAACTTAGTGGACAGTTTTGGTTAGGTGAACGAATAGTTTAGAGCGGAAATTGAGGAAGTATGTTCGTGTCAGATCCTTCGCGATGGGATTTTAAAATCTTTATAGATCATTTGATTTCCGACGTAAAAGGGGGCGTTGAGGATACGGCGGAGAACTTTGGATTAAAAGGGTTGGAGTCGTTTGTTGGCAGATTTGGTCGAGCCTCTCGAACCGTAAAAATCGGTCTGATGAGTGTTTTGTAAGCGGTTTGTTATATATGTTTAGTGTTGATTTTGGTCCCAGCAGGTGTCTGAATAGCTCATATATTTTATTCATGGTTTTTTTTAATATATTATGTGGGCTCCATACGTCTTCTATCCAAGCCGACGGTAATGGATTTGGTTGGATGGAGGACGTTGTTGTTTATGTGCACTGGTTAGCGATCTGACGTTTAAGCGTAAACGTTATTTGTTGCTTTTTTGCATGTTTAACCCGATCCGCCACCGAGTGCACCAGTCGGTAATGAGGTTGATTTTTTGTTTTTTTACGAGGGTTCGCAACAGCAGAGGTCATCATATCAACCCTCAGGGTGCCGGTGTTTTTGAGCAAAAGCCCATTTGTAAGTATGTCGGGAGGAATGCATGGCCGCCGGATTCGAATCCGGGACCTTTACCTTTCAGTGATGAGCGCCGTGTCAACGTCTTAAACCGTTGCGGCCTCCGATGCACCCTCCAGATTTTATTGAATTGCTTCTGAGGTTAAGATTGTAACGTGTAGATAAGATTGCGGTGTCGTCCGGCTATGAATTGTTCGGATGTGTTAGTATGTCAGCAGTGTGGACGTGTAAAGGATCGGACCTAGTATATTTCCTTGTGGAACGACATCTTCAATTGGCGTGATGGTTGAAAATTCATTGCCGATTTTCACTTTAAACCATCGTAGAGGAAGGACTTGGCGATGAGATAATAGATAAGATGGAGGATACATTTTAGCCTGAGGAGGCTTCATTTTTAAGGTTAAATATTTTGTCAATTTTCTTCTGCCTAATTAATTGTTCAGCGTTTCATCCGAATAAATGTTAATTGGTGTGGTCTAACAAACCGAATAATCTTTTAGATCTTTTTAATCTTTGGTGTATATTCATTCTGCTTGTTAACAATGTTGTACTTTTTTATTTTCAACACATTTCCCTTTGTTGAGAAAATTAGCTCAATTTCACAGATTAAACCTTCTCTTATCGATTTTTTTTTCTCTGGTACTATGTGAAAACTTTTGCTAAACCGAACAGTTATCATGGGCTAACAACGGTTAATTAACGCTCACTGAAGCTTCACTAATAAGGTTTGGCATAATTGGAATAGCATATTAAACACCAGGGTTAGTTATAATTCGTTTTACTTATGCAAACTGACAGAACACCTGATATATGTTAATTAGAAAATACAGTTCTTAAGATAGAAATGCTTATTCACATAGAAACAAACATAATTACCAGGTAGAGTACAATGCACAATTAATTTTATAACAAAAATGACTTTTAAACTTCGATTTATATGTTTAATTTAATATGTAAACATAAAGAATATTTTTCTTTCTATGTCTTAAATGTTTTCCTTCGCGGTCGTCTTTCGAGTACATCGTCAAATATTCTACTTTTCTTTTTTTTAAATCAAAATTGTCACTATTTGCACTGTTTTAAACCATAGTTTGTAATTTATGAGTGCATTGTTCTTCGTCTTGTTTTTTCTTTTTGGTTTTCTCTATTGTCAAACCACGAATGTAAATATCATTACGCGATCGGATCAGGGGTATTTTTACGAATGGCCAACCAACTCTTTTTTTTTCAAGGCAAACACTCTGCTTTATAAGACATGGATCAAGAGTTTTAAACCCCCTTAAGCCCCGAATTAAAAATGAGATTTTTGTAAAATGCACATATTTAAATTGCACATAATCCTTGTAAATTGAGCGTTCACACATAATTGAAAACACCAAGTCGAAGAGAAGAAAAGAGACGATCTCTCCGTAAATTCGTTTGTAATTCTGTACTCAATTTAAAGTTATGCATTCTCTTTCTCTCTCTCACTCGCTCATTCTCTCTCCCTCCCTCCCTCCCTCTCTCTCCTGTCCTCTCCTTTGTTTTTCCCTTTTCCTATCTTGTGGGAAACACCTTTTCTTTCTCCTACCCTATCTCTTCTTTCCTCATCCTCTCCCTCCCTCCTCTTTTCTTATGAGTCTTTCGTTTTAATATAATACATATATTGTATTTAAACTATATATTTAAACCTTGTACAGTGGCAATATCGTAATCAATGAAGTTCTACTGTGATGCGATTATTGCTAGTTGAAACTATTTAAACTAGCCATGGCTTTCAACCTTCGTTTCTGTATTGTTCGAAGTAGGTAACTGAGTATTTTGCCGAGTCGGATCCCTTACGGGACTTTGCTTTGTGAAATATAGGTCAAAAGTACATTGATTGGTCTTAAATAAAGGAATAAAACTGCATTAAATTTACCCTCAACTCAATCTCGTGTCTTACTCGTTGGAAACAAATTAATTCGGGTTGGGGGTCATCTCTTAACTATCGGCGGTTATTTTGTTGATAAACAGCTAATGGGGTTTTTAGCGTACACGACTCGCCCGTTAAACCACATTTCACGCTTACTTCCGCCTCCATTTTAAAACTTTATTAAATATATGTATTGCTAAATTCACTAATTTCGCGGTCCGCTTGACCAATTAATATATTACAATTAATTAAGGTTTTTAGTTGAGATAAAAAAGTCAATGGCACGAGCGGGATTCGAACCCACGATCTTCGGCTAGATACGCCCCTGCTCTACCACTTGAGCTATCGTGTCCTCGATCCACTCGGACACTAACTTCCCATCTCAACCCCCAAGGAGGGAAAATTCAAAACGTGGGGTTGAGATGGGAAGTTAGTCTCCGAGTGGATCGAGGTCACGATAGCTCAAGTGGTAGAGCAGCGGCGTATCTAGCCGAAGATCATGGGTTCGAATCCCGCTCGTGTCATTGACTTTTTTACCTCAATTAAAAACCTTAATTAATTGTAATATATGTATAGCGTCAAATCTCGGCCGGACGATGAATTAACGAAACGTTATTGAACGACAGACATCGCAGAACCAAGTACTGACACTCACTTAAAGGACGGACTTTTTACATGGCAGGCTACGAAACGTATAGATGTGACTGTAAAGAAGAACGAGCTCAAGGTGTTTCCTTAATCCTTGCACGACTGCCCTTGCAATATAGTTTCCACTCCATGGCATTCGCAAACTCCCATCAAGTTATATCAATCTTCCTCCACTTCTGTTCTGCACCCATCAGTGTACAGCACCCCATCAGTCCTTCTGTGCTTCTCACAATTGAAATCCATCTTAAATTTCGATTTATAGCCGAGGAATGAATCGGGCAGCAGAGTTGCAAATTCTCGTGGTCGCATCCTTCAAAGCATATCTTTAACAGAAAACTATTCCTATATTTATCCTGTTCAAACAAAAGGCCGTCTGATCCTGATCACATTCCTGACCTCATAGATTTCTTCGTGGCGTCTGACATGGGACCCATCACCTCATCCAGTGCTGAAATTTCTTGTTCTCTAGTCAATCCCTTTTCTCGTCAATAAAGATAATTCCACTAAACCTCTGTAGGGCCCAGGTGATTTAAACTATTCCATGGTATTTTAAATTCCTCTCTAAACCTAAATATACAGCCAACGACACGGAAGGTGCAGTACTACATTTAACCAACAATATCCAGCATTCAATCCTCATTCCATCCTAAAATGCATTCATGTCCTAAGCAAGTTCTCATCCCTCTTAAAGCCAGACGACAATCTCGACATCCTTGCGATAAGCAATAAGCAACTGTCCATCTACAGCTCGTAGGAGTATATTCTTTGAATCCCTTTTCAACATATCATAACTCTCTCTGGTTCGCTAGCAAAAAAGGTATTAAAATATCACACAGTTGATTCCCCCCATCATATTGCGTAATGGTCCTGGTTCAACGACTGGGGAACGACGGGGCCAAGTCCAACCTTTACGCAACCATTTTGAACACACCTTTGCTCCTCATCCTGATATAAACATCATAGAACCTGAGCAGCAAGCCAAGCTCTTGATACCCTACTTTCTACTTATCCTGCTTTTAAACCTTTCAAGCCTTCTGAAGTAAAATTTTATATTCACAAGTCCCCAAGTAAAAAATCCCTTAGACACGATTTTATAACAACTATAATACTTCGAAAACTCCCACAGAATGCCATATGGTGTATATGGTATACCTTTGCGTAATGGTCCTGGTCCAACGACGGGGCCATGTCCAACTTTTTCGCAACCATTTTGAATTTTATAAGGTAAGGTGTATAATTCAAAATATTCCGCGATCACTCTCATACCTGAACCCCATAAAACTTCCAGTAATGTCCAAAGTCCTTTAAAGGCTTCAAACGCCTAATACCCATCCTAGATTTATATAATTCCTTCACTCTAATTTGGTTTCCGTCCTCATCATTCCAAGATTCAGCAATATTTCAGGACATTATTTCCTCTGCTTTAGAGAACAAAGAGTATTTATTGCTCAGGTACATTCCTAGACATGTCCCAAACTTTTGACAGGGTCTGCCACCCAGGAGTTCTCTTCAAAAGTTGTTCCTACCACCCACTTTTTTTTATTTGCCAAATCTTAAAATCCTATGTACTCGAACGCTGCTTCGGAGTGAGATGTGGCAACGAGTCTACAAGGAAGCATTCTTGGTCCTATCATGTATACAATTTATACTGCCAATACATCTTGAGCTCATTGAAGAATCGTGGGAAATGAATATTCGGAGATCGTGACATGCGGTGTGACGTAGGTTTTAGAAAAACATTTTCTTTATCGTCCCAACGTTTCGATTAGATGGTGTTAGTGCTGAGTTGTAGTTGTTGATTATTCTGTTATGTGTTTAGGGTAGTGATTGTTATGGAGGATCTGTTTGTATGCTCTTGTGGTGAAATGATTCATGGCATAGGGTAATAATTCTGTGAAGTATCCCTTCGGCCGTGTTTATTATTGTATGAGGATGGAGAGATGTAAAGTTGAGGTAGCGATCTGTGTTTCTTTGTTTTTGATACCAATCTGTGATTAATGTGCCAGACCGCATCTCACGATCTCCGAATCGTCTAACGGTCACCAACGATCACCACACATTTCTACACGAGTGGAAAATGAAGCTGAACAAATGTGCCCAAATTACGTTTACGCTAAACAAACATCCACTCCAACGTCTTTACGTTAACAATACGGAAATACCGACATCTACACAAGTAAAATGCTTAGGGCTATACTTAGACAGTAGACTGACGCAGAATCCTCATACAAGACTAAAGCGGCAAGAAATAGATCATTTGGACAACTAGGAAGACTTGAAGGACCGAAAACCTGACAGTAAAGAACAAACTAACTCTGTACAAAACATTCCTTCCACATATTTGAGCACGTGAAGCGAACCTATGGGATACCACCAAGCCATCTAACATCCTACGAATCTAAGCTTTCCAGTGAATAGTCCTCGGAAGAATTATCCAAACTCCTTACTGTCTCCATTTTCCCTATCCACAACCTTAACATTCCCTTCGTCAAAGAACTGATCCTTTCCCGCTTCCTCATGTCTCACGCCAATCTTTCAACCCATCGGAACGAAACCACCTTGTCTCAAACGACGATTGCCTTGTGACCTCGCCTGAACCCGATAAAACTGAGAGCCAGCTTCTAATGCACTGGCATTAAATTGTTTTGCCCGGGATTTTTATACCAGTAGAACTATTTGTAAGGTGTATAATTCATTCACAGAATACAAATAAATATTATTTAAAAAAGGGTTTTCTTCTTTGTTTTATATAAAATTAATGAAAGGCCGTAAAGTAGCCCTGTGCGTCATACTCTCGACCTGAGATAAGATTCGGATAACGAGATTCGTGGAATTTCAGTTTTTGAGATATCACAAATAGTAATTATATACTTATCGCATTTGTCGGTCCGAAAGAAATCAATTGAATTGTAAATTTGGCGAGAAAATTTGAATTTTTAGTACGAACCTCTCTAATGTTTACAACAGGCCCAATGTTTGAACAAACCAAGTTTTGAAATATTTAAAGTAATTTAAATGTACTTTTTACTTTCCGATATTGAAGATTTATTTGTTTTTTATTTAAATGTCACAGTAGATATGTCTGAATTGGTTTTTCTCAGGTCATAGATACCAGAATGTTTGAAATTTAATTAAGTGCGAGGTGATGAGCCTAGGCTTCATCTAAGGTCTTCCTGGTTTGATAAAGCTGGTTCTGCTAGGTCAGGATGATTAAATAGTCTGGTCAACGAAAACCTGGAACCTTCGGTCATGGATGAAATGAGTACAATTTTTACGCTATAACCAAGCACAAATCAGGAAACAGGAAAATTATACTTTTCTTATAGACGTGAAATTTGATCGTTATTGATCATTTTGAACTGCCTATCTTCCCTGGGTTGTCTGTCAGACGCTATTTCGGCGCATTGTAGATAACAAAATGTCGAAATTCGCCTGACAGATCAGCCAGTGATGATTGGCAGACTAAAATGATCGGTATCAACCAATTTTTCTTTTTTCTTTTCTCTCCTGTGCTTGCATGGTCATTTGTTTGGAGAAAAGTGTCTAAATTTTCTATGAGTAGAAAAACTGCAGATTAGTTCACCGGACTTCATTTTTAATTGAAAGTTTACAGTTCGTCATTTGCTAAGATTTCTTTGTCTTCTAGGGAAAAAAATTTTCTGCTTTGTATTATTCTCACTTCTTGATTGGTGTTTCCTTACATTGACTTTAATTTGTTACATTTGGCTTAGAGGATAAATTTATACCTTGATACCTGGATGTTTACATATAAATAGAATGATTGTAAAATTTATGCTTTACAAATGTATGGCAGATGCATTATTTTCTCTCTAACCCAATTTAAGTTACAGTTGCTATTGTTTTTAACAAAAACTTGTTTTCTTGTTTTGTCAAAATCTTTCCAAAAAAATAATTGATAAACTGGCATTATTTTAGTTCCACTTGTTTAAATAACGATAACCAACGTGATATCATTCCAGATAGTCAGCGTAATGTTTTATTTTGAAAATTTCATTTTTGATCCTCGCCCTGGTTGAAATTTTCTTTGTCGACTTTTTAATAAATGTATCGACTATTTCAAAAGGTCATCCAGCCCAAAACAAATTTTCGTTTTTCATTTCCTTGTTGTTCTAAGGTAGATAAAAACTCCAAAAAGCCGATTAGCTCGATAAATTAAAAATGTGGATGTTTTATATCGTGTTTATTGTATTATTAGTGTTTGTTGACACTTTATTGAGAAGCTGGGAGGTGTTATTGTGGGCTGTTGATAGCTGAAACTTTAACAGTCTTTCTCGCCTATTTTGTAATTTATAAATTGATCTGTATATTTAATCTACAGATTAACACTGATATAGTATTTAGCTGTTGGTGTCCACGTTTTATTGTTTTGTCACCCCTCCAATTCCAGGAATTTTTTCTACTTCTTTTTTTTTCTTTTTTTAAGTACTCTGCGCTACTCTGCATTTTCCCTTTCTGCGTTTTGTCTTTCACATTTGTGTAATAGGTTAGTAGATCCTTCATGGGCGATGTACCTTCTGCTGAAATGTGGGGTCGAACATGTAACTTCTTCCTTAATAAACGTCACACATGAGTACTAATTATTATAGCAACACGCACGTATACACACACAGAGAGTAAAATTAGCCTATTTTACACCTAACCTAACTACTTTAGCAGGTCTGCGGGGTACTCTATATTCCACAACAGATCCGTCAATCCCACTTAACCACTCACGCAAATAAATACATTCATACCAAGAAAAAGTATAAAATCTACGTGTGAGGGATTATATGTAACTATATGCGTTTATCGATTTTAGATATTCAAGAAGTTTATCTTTATGATCATTGTTATGCTTTAATATATTCGACATATCCTTATACAGGCCACACTTAATCCTGTGCGGCGCTAGTAGAGCGCACTCTTTTAAAACATGTAATATGTGTAAAAATACGCCACAGTCGCGCCTCGGGGACACCTTTCTAACTAGGATGTGCCCATCTGTCAGGCGAGTGTGGCCTATCCTTAATCGTGTGGGAATAATTCTCTCTCTTTTTTATTTTCTCCGGGACAGGTTTAACTGATTTTAGCTTTTCCTACATGGTAGTACAACGGATATGCCTGTTATTCCAGCTTTTCTATGGATGTCCGAGTCATGCGGCATTGCTGCTGCTTCTTTTCCCGCTTTCTCAGCCTCTTCATTAGCCACAAGAACATTACCTCGCATTATTTCTCTTTTAATATCTTTAAGCTTTCAAAAATCTTTCCATTTTTTGTTTTCAATTTGTTTTGAATGGCTGAGACCTTTCTGAGCGAATCCGTAATAGAAATTTTGAACCTGGCTGGTTATCTATTTCCCTCAGAGTAGGTATATAGTGGTCAATAAGAGGTAGGTGCAGATGCTGGCCGGGGTATCTTTATTTTGTTTTGCACCGGCACAGCCGACCTCCTCGGCGTTCCTCGATCCATCTATGTATATAAATCGTGCGCCTGCAAGTTCCTCCTTTATTGAAGAAAAAAATTTCTTGTTATGTAGGAGGGTGTTTCCTCTTTCTTTTTAGTCGACATATCCAACTGCACGATTGGTCCACGGTTCCGTCTCTGATTCGATGACCGGGAGAACTTAATCCACACTTGCTCCCTAATTTTCTGTTGAAAAATCCATTGGTAATTTTCCAGCCTGATAGAACTCTGAGCAGTCCAGTAGGAGTCAATAACGTTAACGAGTTGAAATCCCCCGGTGGTTCCCTCTCCTCTCCAACCCGAAGCGACCATTTAATTAGCCCTGATATAGTTGACTATTGTCCTCTCAGTGATAATTCAGCTTCCGAACGGATATCTTCCAGTTCCCTCGTTCGTCTTCGTCTTTTCTTATTTTTGTTTTTCTAACCCGACGTGTGCGTATTCGGAAATACTTGGCGAAAATGTGCTCCATAGGCTACTTCCGGCCTAAATGACAGCAGTAAGACCGTTTTTTATTATCTGGCTCTTTGTGTTATGCGTTTTATTAATTTAAATCTTTATATTCGAAATTTGTAACAATCTAAACAGAATTGAATTTTTCTCCACCGATTTGCCCTGTTATGCTAGTGTCCCCCTTGTCTTTCGAAACTAGCTGGACATTTGCCGTCGCTGTGTCACCCTAACTCTCATTCTACATAATGCATGCGACCATTTACATAAACGAAACGAACCAAAAAAATTAATCTTTTTTTTCACGAAAATTTACTAACTGTTCTTTTGCCTCGTGCTCTGAGTTTCAACAATTTTAAATTCCAAATTCAAGCGAAAAAAATTTTAAATAACAAAAGCTGTACTTTTTAAAACTAAGATGGTGCAAAAAAACAAAAAATTCACTAAAGATTTGTTTTTTCGTCCATTGTCGTTACTCTTGTTGTAAGTAATCAATGTTTAAACTATAAATGAAACAATTTTTCATAGAAATGTACCGCTTATTTTCATAATTTCATCTTTCAGGAAGCTATACTTATTAAAATAGTTTTAATAGTAATATTAATAATTTTTAATAGTAAAAGATAATAATTTTCTGAATTTTTAATTTATACTTAATTAAGTTTTAATCGAAAATTAATGAAAAATGAAAAAAAGTTTATTTATAAAAAGAAAATATATTTCCCAGGAAGTATAGTACACATTCAAACCAAAACAGTTCTTATAAAGCATTGATTAACAGTCTGCTGGAGGTGATGGCCAGTTGAGATTCAGTTGAATAATGATTCACGCCGATAAATTACACCCATAGTCGATAATCATTGGGATAATGGAGATATTACGCTAATAAATACATTCACACACCAACCAAGCGTACTTGATACTCCTAAGGGTAAATAGGGATCAACTTCGCGCTAATGAATACATTCACTCATTACAATTCACTCTAGCACAGAGTACTCGATATTCCATTTGGTAATTGACGTCCATTCATACTAATAAATTATGTTCACACCACAATTTAGTCACAATTGAAAATCTTTGGGGACTCTGAAAAGTGAATTTTCAACATTGTACATCATTAGAATATATTATGTACATACAAAAATAATAATAAATTAAGTAAACAAAATTAAATTAAAGCTATTAGCACTTCTCAGTGTAAAATTAAAAATTAAACGAGCTCTCTGCAGTACTCCAGTGCACCTTTTGCAAAACCAACCAGGTCTGAACAATCCGGGGAATTAAGTGTTGCGATCTCAAAACTAGTAGTTCCCAAAAAGAATGGGACACATAGCCAAAAAAAAATGGTAGAGGTCCTACTTCACACATGAATTACACAGTGAACAGCGCTCAGCAGAATAATCTCTCAGAGGTAGATAAGTTTGCAACTAAGTTTCAAGAACCAACTTAAATTGATAGAGGACAACTTTACATTATTATTAAAACAAAAAATGCCTTAAAATGATCAAATTCTTTGTAGAGCAGAAATCTGTTGTATCTAAGAGCCAGTTTAGTACAATGTTAAATCGCCTAGAATGAATGGATGATTGTAAAGCCAAGAATTAAAAGTTTTAATTTATAAAGATGATATAATTTATTAATTAAACAATTAAGGCAACATTGTATTAATTTAAGTGAGAACTTGAACAATTTCTCACAAATACAAAAAATAGACCTAGTTACAGTTTGTACATATTTTTTTGCTCATAACCATGATAAAACAGTTATTCATAACAATTGCTATGATGATGCTAAGATATGAATCAATACATTTACAAATATAAAAAAATAAAACAGTTCACAGTTTCGGTGTTGGATTATTAATGTGTTTCTAAAGAAGTGTTATGTAATGCAAGAAACATCCGATGGTTTGAATATTTTTACAACAAAATGTACTAGTTGTGTGAACTGTCGTGTGGTAAAGTTGGAGTCTCTTACTGAAACACGAATTAGTGAGTGTTAAAAATTTTTTCTTCATCTTAATTTTTACTATAAAGATAGTACTTGTTTAAAACAGAACAACTCTCTTCCTAGGTCGAAGGAGCCGGAACCGAAGAGAATGAAGTTTGAAATTCCAGCGCCGAGGCCTCGGATGGAATGCGTCCTTGACGAAACGTTCACTAGAGACATACCGAAGGTTCAAGTTTATATAGGAAAGATAGCCGATCGTAAAAACACGAGTAAATCCATCGTCCTGCTCAATGCCATTCATCCAGTTTACAATCTCCAGCATTTGAAGCGGGTAAGGGGAGGGACAGAAATCCTTCTGTGCCTTGCGGATGGCATTGATGACCCTATTGAATTTTTAACAAACATCGGTTACAACATTGCCTTCCTTGATGAAGATATTTTGAAAATTGATGTGGCCTCCGAACCACCGAAAACAAGAAAACAGTTTGAACAAGCAAATAAACTATGGCCTTGTAATTTCCACGAGGACAAATACGTTGAAAAACTAGTTAATAACACTTACTCGGAGAAAGAAATGGAAGTTCATGAAAAATGGATGAGGATGGCTTTAGAGTGTCATGGCGTTGTTATTGTCGATCCGAAAGGTGGTACGTGCATAGCCAGCTCTTCGAGCAAACTAGACGAACACCCTTTGCAACATTCTATAATGGTCGCAATTGACCATGTCGCCCGTTCACAAGGCGGAGGGGCCTGGGGTCATCCGACTGTTGAAGAAACTCTTTTGAAAGGTCACGACGGACCTTATCTCTGTACAGACTACTATGCCTACTGCTTCAGAGAACCGTGTATCATGTGCGCTATGGCTCTGGTGCATAGCAGGGTTAAGAAGGTGTTTTACTCTGTACCATCCAAAAATGGTGTACTCGGCACTTCATTGAAATTACATGTGGTCAAAGCTTTAAACCATCATTATGAAGTATACAAAGGGGTTTTGTACGAAGAAGGTGTTAAATTATTGGAAAAAGATAAATGATTTTTGTAATTTTGTATTATTTTTTAAAAATAAAATCTATTTTTTATATCACTTGTACTATTTATTGACTTTAATCTTTTCAAATAGTGTACATTTTGTGGGGTCTTATAGTAAATTACTTTAATCATCTTATTTATGCAATATTGGCATTTAAATCTATGTTTAGTTAGAAATGTAGAGACCATATTTATATTTTATTAAAAATAATAATATTTGTACTAGATGGTTCAGATTTTAAAGAATGATCATGGCTGTAACTCATAATTTGATATGTTCTCTTAACGGTAGGTGAATATTACTTTTAATATATAATTTTCCTTTTTCTGCACTACCTTTCTTTCTTCACTTTTTATTGCCTATAAGGATTTTTGGTCCAATCCAGGACTGTTTTTCATGGCTTGTGGAAGCTCAAACAAACTAATGATGTTGACAATTTTGTTTTATGTCCAAAGTCAAATTTATTCATTTTTATAGTGAAAATAGTAACTATCACATAACAGCTTGCATGTTTTGCTGCTTAAACATTTAATGTTATTCAATTCAGGGCAATCCTTGGTTCCTTTGGCTCTAATTGAAACTACTTGTCCATTATGTTTTAAATTCCGCACTAGAGTTCCTCTCAGTCATAAATTCATCAAAGCCTTGTAACTCACAAATGACAGTGCCTATTAGTTCCCACTGTCGACTTGACCTAGGGCCTTGCCGTCTCGATTGTTCTAGCCCGCGTTTATTTTTTTCCGCCGCATTAATTGGGCGGATATCTTCGCAATTGCAAAATTGATCCCATTAATTGCCAGATGGTCCTTAAATTTTCAAAACCCTCCCCAAGTTAAATTGTCTTTTGTTTAATTCAAGGAAGCAACAATTAGCGCAGGGTGATTGTATCGTTTAAATTTAAAGAGTAATTCCGTTATAATTGTGCAATTGTTTAAAGTTCCTCGATTTTTAGGTTTTTATTTTAAATTACGTTTTTATCTCTGCTTCGATAAAAATTGGATTAAATGTGAAGTGTGGGAATTGTACGATTTGTGCATGAGATCACCGTAATTCATCGACATATCTTTTATTCATAAAAAAGCACCATTTTATAAATACGCAGCTTTTTTTACTATTTTATAATTTATTATCCAATCAATAGGAATATAATAAATTACATTTTTCTTTGCTTTGATAAAAATTGGATTAAATGTGAAGTGTCGGAATTGTACGATTTGTGCATGAGATCACCGTAATTCATTGACATATCTTTTATTCATAAAAAAAGCACCATTTTATAAATATCCAGCACTTTATACTATTTTATAATTTATTATACAATCAATAGGAATATAATAAATTACATTTTTCTTTGCTTTGATAAAAATTGGATTCAATGTGAAGTGTCGGAATTGTACGATTTGTGCATGAGATCACCGCAATTCATCGACATCTTTTATTCATAAAAAAAAAAGCACCATTTTATAAATACCCAGCTTTTTATACTATTTTATAATTTATTATCCAATCAATATGAATATAATAAATTACATTTTCATATTTATTAACGTTATTGCGCTGAATATTCTATCATTGATGAGTTAATCATGAAAAATGTTATTTTATGATTATGTATTTATAATAATAGTGAGTGTGTAGTACTATAGTAATAAATTCACTAATTTCGTGGTCCGCTTGACCAATTAAATCATTACAATTAATTAAGGTTTTTAGTTGAGATGAAAAAAAGTTAATGGCACGAGTGGGATTCGAACCCACGATCTTCGGCTAGATACGCCGCTGCTCTACCACCTGAGCTATCGTGACCTCGATCCACTCGGACATCAACTCCCCATCTCAATCCGACCTTATGAGTTTTCCCTCCTTTTGCCATTTTTCAAATGTCGTGTAATCGGTTTGGATTCTCGACGACAATTGAAATGGCGACGGAGAGCTTTAGTGAAGTGTACTTCATCTTAATTCGGTTGAGATGGGGAGTTGATGTCCCAGTGGATTGAGGTCACGATAGCTTAGGTGGTAGAGCAGCGGCGTATCTAGCCGAAGATCATGGGTTCGAATCCCGCTCGTGCCATTAACTTTTTTTCATCTCAACTAAAAACCTTAATTAATTATAGTAATAAAGGTGAGTAGAGACTAAGTGTGCTTAGATGCAAATATATATTTTGTTAATATTCCTATTATTCACAAGTATGTGTTGCTCAGTCAAAAAATGCATGTTCAGTTTGGCACAAAAATTTTGTTCACATTTGGTATGCATATACAAATTTAATCTGTCTGTTTAGACATAACAATCTACTCAATGTTTTTGTTTAAGTTGAATGTTGTGTATAATTGACAGTCCTTAGCCATGTTGGGACTGAGTCAGTCTTCAATTTGAGATCGCCTGTAAAAAGCTTAAATATGTCAATCTGTAAAAATATTTAAGATTGTTTTGCCCTCATGATGACTTTAAAATAGGTTGAAAGCCCCGCAGTAACAACTAAATTTACTTCTTCTTCAAGACCATATCTTGATCGAGAGTGTTCGTGAATGAAAAAGTGGTCGATATTTCTTATGATGTAATATTCTATGGCCTTTGAGAGCTATTATTTCCTCGTTCTGTACCTGCAGCACCCCAGTGAATCTGTCTTCATCGAGAAATTTGATATGTGCATTATACATTCTCCTGCGGGCAAGTGTTGTGTCAATTTGTTAGTAGGTGACTCCTCTGTTTCCTTGCAGAATTTGCACCTACCATACTGAATCTACCACTCTTTCTCAGGTGCCCTGTTAAGAATCCTAAAATTTGAAGTATTTTCCTGCTTCCTTTGATGCATTATGTTGTTTCTTTCCTTCTGAAACTCACTTGTATGGTCTTAGATTGCTTGTGTTCATGAAAGAACTAAGCTGTTTCCTCATTTTCATCCTTCTTTTTGCCTAAGATAGTAATTGATATTGTGAATCCCTGTCACAGAAGGGCTCGAGTCCTATTAGCCTTATAGCAAGGCAATCTACTTTTACATGTACTGGGACCCAGCAGAGAGTAACTTTACGTGGCATACTTAATTCATTTAACTTAGTCTTGCAATTCAGCACCACCTTTGAGCTATAATGTTTGACCTTAGTGCTCTGATGACTGCCTCTGACATAACAGGCACATTCAGGTTAATTTGAGTATATCTCTCAATTATGTAGATTTCAGCTTGAAAGATTCTGTTTTATTTTCCCATGGGTTCTGAGTATTTGGTTCCAGGTCACTTCCCCTCAGACCTTTTTGAATTTTATATCCATAACAGCAGGGCCATTCTCAACAGAGAAGTCTTTTACTTTTTTTATAATACTTTTCTCTACTTGGGTTTGTCCAGAAATTTTGTTTGAATTCAAACATCCTGAATATGTCGTTCCTGCATGCCTTGATTATTGGATGTTCCCTTGTTCTGTTATTATCATTTTGCTTATATTTAACTGGTTTTCTTCTTACCTGCTATGCATCTTTATATTGATTATGTGTTTCAAAAAATAGAAGGCCCTACTTCCCTCATCCTCACATTTGAGTCATTTGTTTTTCCTTTTTCTTTTTCTTCTTCCTCATTAGTAATTTAGTAAGACTTCAATTTCACATCACATGATCCAAAACATAAAAATAAAAGTAGTTTTGTGCCAGCTTAAATCAAATCTAAGAATTAAGAAAGTAGGACCTTTGAAACTTACTAATTACTATAAAGAAAGAGAATTTTTTGTTTTTTATTTAATCACTTTAGACACTGCTCAATACTTCTAAAGTAAGAACACCAGTTAATTTGAAGTAAAAATTGTTACAATTTTACAAAGGTTGAAGTTTGCCGATTAAAACATTGTTGTGGAAAATTTTCATAAAGCAACTTATCTGTAAAATCAATTTCACATTTTATTACGACATTATTAGAAGAAAAAATTGTTCATTTGATAAATTAATTTCAACAATGATTTTACAATCATCCTAAGACATGAAAAAGTGAAAGTTAAGTTTTTGTAATATATAGAAAAAAAAATTTCATAAAAGATTATGATTATTAAAAATATCGCTTGAAGGATTTTTTTTAAACATTTTTTTTAGTAAATTTTGTCTGTATATTCTGCGATAAACCAGTAATTTGGTCATGGCCGATTATCTTGCTCATCTATCCTCACTGGGTCTGTCAGACGAGTTTCGACATTTTGCTAAATTCAGTGTCTCTTAAGTGCACAGACATACTGAGGATGGCAAAATGTTAAAATGTGCCTGATAGACCAATCCAGTGAGGATAGGCAAACCAAAATGATCAGTACTGACCAAATTAAATTTTTTAGTTGCTCGACTGTGTCGATTCAAAATACCTTTTTAATTATCTTTTCAATGTAAAAAACTTATCATAAATTGTTTTCGTTTTGTTTTTAATGTTATCTTGTTTAATTGATATATTATCATTGCTTTCTAGTCTACTATGAAAATCGGTTAACTTCTTTAATAAAATTGATGTTTTTATTTGTAGCATTTAAATAAAATATTACATATTTATCAAAAACAATTTTTGATTTTATTTTGACTTGAGCTTGTAAATTTTCTCCTAGATTTTTAAAGAAAGTTGTTTCATTTTTTCAGATTACGTTGCTGAGGCCCACCCAGCAAGCACCTATTTGTAGACCCAAATTGAATAAGGTGTGCTCGTGCTTAGTGTGTGGTGCCTAGACTTTTTTTTTAATCGAGTGTGTGGGTTTGGAATTTGTTAAAGTGACTATCAGGTGGGAAAGTGGGACCAAAAGTTTTCATCCACGGTAGGACGTTATTTCACATATGCACTGGTCAGCTTGACATGCACAGACTCCGTGGTAGGACTAGAGTGTTTCGTGGCCGTGGGAAAAAGAACCGTCCACATCGACTTGTCGTCGTAATCGAACAAGTGCAATATCAAGACATGGCATTCCTTCAAGTACCGCATTCTGCTCTGCCCGAGAAAAACAGCAAAGACCCTCCCTGCACTGTCTGCTGAGTGTTGTGTGCAGAGGTAAAACATATTCGCACACCCTTCAAGAACAGTGAAATCTAAGGACATCAGTGCCAGTATTTCAGTTTTTTGTTTTATCATTTTTTACATCAGTTTTTGATTCGGTCTAGCTGATTACCTGGATTGCTATTAGAAAAGGACTGTGCTATGGACCTCTTGCTGTCGCAGGAGGATTTATCCCCGTCGATGGCCAACCATTGGAATTTCGACACTGAAAGAATGGTTCCTAAAAGAAAACAATGGTCTGATGACAACACCCCAAACAAAACAAGAAAATTAAATGGTAAGTATAAAGGCAATATTTAAATACCATTATTAAATTAATAAATACATAAATAAATTAATAGGCACAGTATCTAGTGCAAATTTTTAATATAATTGATGGGACACTTTATGTTTTATATGGCATACCCTATACGTTTAATGATGCAAATTGATTCTAGAAAAATTTAAAACTAAAGGTCCAAAATTCATATAAATTAACTAGTCAAGAAAATTTTTGAAAAGTTGACTCACAATAATGTGAAATACTGCCATTTCAAAGAGAAAAACTCAGCTATATAGTATGTATTCTACTAAAGTATCATTTCATGAAGACAGGAAAGCAATGAATTTCCGAGTATTTTTGTTTTAATCAACAAAGCTGATACATACATCATACAACTTATCACTGATGAGTCTTATGTTAAATGTCTTCTTGTGACAATGCTAAACATAATATTTTGATCTTGTCCGATCATCCTGTTTTTCCTATTCCCACTACTTTGCCTGTAACTTGTTTTGTAGATGTTCATAATAGTCCATTGATAATTGACTTAAATATTCATCACATCCCAGACTTTAATTTAAATTGTCACATATAGTGCTGTAGTGCTTAGACAACCATATGTGATTTGGCATGTGCTTAGGATGATTCGAGATGAAGAGGCTTCTGTCTATCTGCACCAACTCGTTAAGGCAGGTCATCCACCTCCTTAATTGTGCAATGCTAAAAATTGAATAAAAAACATGATTAACATAAATGAACGTTGGTTGACTGGATCGGCTGTGAAGCTCTTGCACATCAAAAGCACAGTTGATAAATGGCCCTTGGAGGATTTGAATTGAGGAAAGCTTGTATTTAAAATTTATTTGAGTGTCCCATTTAATTGAATTCGTTGGCTCCTTATAGGGAGTGTGTAGGAATGCTACTGGATTTGTATCCTCTGTTCTGGTTTGTAGAGGAAAAAAGGGTTTTTTTAGTGTCTATAATAGCGATAGTTTGGGTCCTATAGTATACGTTGAGAGTGAAAGTATTTATTAGCATGAATGTGTAAAGTGGGAGGGCTGATCGTGAAATATTGAGTCCCCATCAACTCTCATTTTCAAAAATTATAGTAGGTGTAAAGGTTGATGGAGAAATATTGAATCTACCATCCTAATTTTATGAATGGTATGTAAATAGGAAAAAATATATTTAAGAATGAATGGATCAGTGTTGGGGACTGAAATGACCTAGCTGATGACCCTCGAGCTTAACATCATTGGTCGAAAAGACTGAAATTTGACCCCGGAGATGTTATAAACTCAATTCTGTATATATTATTAAATTCACTAGTTTCGTGGTTTGCTTGACCAATTAATATCTTACAATTAATTAAGGTTTTCAGTTGAGATAAAAAAGTCAATGGCACGAGCGGGATTCAAACCCACGATCTTCGGCTTGATACGCAGCTGCTCTACCACTTAAGCTATCATGACCTCGATCCACTTGGACACCAACTTTCCATCTCAACTTCTGTATATATGTTTATTGTACATGCGCAGAATTGAGCTCATATAAATCAATCAATTGAGTTCAATTTTTAAAAAAAATCATACACAGTTTATAAAAATGATTGTGGTCATACTTTAGCCTAGTTTTGGCTCATTTTTCTGTTTATCTATATCAGCCAGGGTTTATTTTTCACCTTCACACTGTTTCAACCAATAAATGAGGATTTCTAGAAATTTTGAGTGCTGAATTATTAATTATTTCAACGTGATGTAGGTTTTGAGATAATCTAATCTATATATATTGCCGTCCTCGTGCTATTTGCATTTGTTTTCATAATAGAAATAATCACCATAACCGAATATATAAAATTAATTAAACAGCAAGTTCTAATTTCCACTGGAAATATTACTATTAAGAGTTAGCTAATTATTTTTACATTGTGTCACTAAACAGGGTAGAAATAATACACATTAGTCTAATCAATCAAATTTTGATTATTTTCAAGGAATCCAATATTTTATTTGTTTTAATTGATTCATAAAGTTGTTAATTTAATTTAACACGACAAATAAAGGAAATCAAACTTTTTATCCCAGCTTTGTTCAAAGCTAAAATAAGGTTATCTGAGATCAAATACTAAATCATTCCACAGATAATATGATATTGTTGCCACGATGGATATGTATAGGAACTGTAATGCAGGTCTGAAATTTTATATATATCTTGCATATTTCTGAATTTATTTAAAGCTTTGGGAAAGTGGAGAATCGCTGCTATTATGTAACCAATTACAGTATATCTTTTCTTATTTAATTAACAGTTTTAAATCCCAAGACAAAATTTGTAAATTAAATAATTACTTTCCCCCCTTCAGGCTTTTTATTGTGTGCCGCTTATCTTATCAGGTAGGGAAATGCCTTTTATCCTATTTATTAGTTTTACAGCTTGCGTTTTAAGAGTCACGAGGCCTAAGAAAATAAAGCAAATTTTACAATTTGACTCCAACGGAATAAATACAATTCAGAGATGGATTTGTACAGGCACAGTTTGAAATATAGTTATTTTTGTTATATTATTTTTTAATTTATTTACTTATTTATTTTTTGGTAGCACAATGGTATGGAATACTCTTCTATTCAAGGTTATTTTATACGATAACCTGATATTCGTTAAAAAACAACAAAAACTGGCTTATTAATGTATTTAAGATAATATCCATGTTTTTCAAACTTTGCCCATTTACGCAGCATTAATGATCCTTACATATTCATAAATTGCTCCATTTAGTAAATCGTGTGTAACTATCAAATTATCATTCATTTTTACCCCGTTGAAAATATGAAGTATTTCCTATTAAAAAAATTATATATTTTTATATTATCTTCATATTAAAAGCTATGAGAAGGAAAACTTTTAAAATATAAATATAATTGAAGTTGTAGAAAATTTCCCTTTTGCATTTAAACTTTCATCTATTGTGTCTGATCTCTGCTGATGGTTTTCCTGGAAGATTTTTTTTTTTATGAAATACAGAATTGTTCTCAGTTCTGGCCTATGTTGCACAGGAATTTCCTAGTTAACACAGCCTTTTCCTAGCTATTGCGGGGCAGTTGCATAGTGTATCCTTTCTGTCTCTTCTGAATAGTAACAATGACATTAAAAAATGGTTGTTACTGTCACCTGTCCCCCGCCTGGGGTATAGATTGCTGTTCCAATACCTCAAGACCATAAATATTTTAAACTGCATGTAGATAGTTATATGTTAATGTTTGTATGTATGCTATTTTGAAAATAATGTATTTATTAGCAAGAAGGAGGGGCTTCCAATTGGAATGTAATTTATTAGTGTGAAAGTAGATACCCTAGATGTAGATGTAAATGTAATTTCAGGGTATAGTATACTGCACCCTTTAAAAGCTGTTGTATCCCCCGTGCTCTGCCTAAAGCACATCGGTGAGTCCTATTTCATCAAGAAACTTGATTAATAGGCCTGGTTTCAGTGGTTGAAGCTCTTCTATGGTCACATTATACATCCCAAAACATTTCCTCCTGCAGGTTAGTGTGGATTAGTAAATGTGTTGGTGTCTCTTCTGCCTCCTTGCAGAATCTGCATGTGCCATCTTGGATAGTTCCAATTTTCTTTAAGTGTCCATTTAATTTGCAATGTCCTATTAGGAATCCTATTAGAATTCACAGTCTGTTCCTGCTTCCCTTGATACATTCTGCAATTTCTTTCCTATCAAAATTGGTTAGAAGAATCTTGGGTTGTCTATGTTCAATGAGTGAATTCCAAAGTTCCCTCATTTTCTTTTTGTCCTTCTGTCTGAGATATTCGTTAATAGTGTGGATTCCTATGCCACTGTTCTGGTTCTATCAGTGGTGTAGCAGCTAGATACCCTAAGGAATAAAGTAGTCTGGGACAGTGTGAATGTTTTATTAGAATGGAGGGTCTTTTTCCCCGATTACCGCAAATTCAAGTGCTTTCAGGCAGTATGAATGCTAAACAGACCAATTTGTTTTTAAATATATATATTTTTATTATATGTGTCAACTGTGGGATTATTCTTTGTATATTTTTCTCCTTGTGCTTGACAAGGCCCTGAACTAGATAGAGGCTGGAGAGATAGACAAAAGAGTTGGTTATTTGAACACCCAAAGCGTGATTTAAATTAATATAACTTGGCTGTAACATCTCAAAAATGAATTTTTCACAATATTCTCTAGTTTTCGTGGTCCGCTTGACCAATTAATATCTTTCAATTTATTAAGGTTTTTAGTTGAGATAAAAAAGTCAGTGTCACCAGCGGGATTCGAACCCACAATCTTCGGCAAGATAAGCTGCTGCTCTACCACTTGAGCTATCGTGACCTCAATCCACTCGGACACTAACTTTCCATCTCAACCCCACCTTTTTTTTTTAATTTTCCCTCCTTTTTGCCATTTTTCAATAGAAAATTTTAAAAAAGTGGTGGTTGAGATGGAAATTTAGTGCCCGAGTGGATCGAAGTCACGATAGTTCAAGTGGTAGAGCAGTAGCGTATCTAGCCGAAGGTCGTGGGTTCGAATCCCGCTTGGGACACTAACTTTTTATCTCAAAAACCTTAATTAATTTCCACAATATATTTCTTTTTTCTTGAATTGGATTTCTTCTTTTGCTCATTGGTTTGCTTTTGTGAATACAAAAGGCTTTTTTGCTTGCCTCATGTCTGGAATACATACCCGGTATTTTTTGTATTCTTTAGTTACTCAAGATTCAAGTCCTTTTTGATCTCGGTATAATTTATACCACAAAATAAATTTGGGTCTTGTTCCAAGGTTCCCTTTTTGCTTAGGATGTCTACTGTCTTGTATAAAAAATCTCTCATGGGACCTTAGCATCAGGCATTTGTAGATCAGAGTTTTTCTATGGCATGAGGCAGTTTCAAACTAGTTTTGAGTTGATCCCCTAAGCTTGGAAAGCTTGGCTATCTGATAATGTTACAATTTAACTATCAGATGTTTCATGTTGAATCGGCACACAGCACTGCGTTTACTGAATAACTAAAAAAAAGCAAGCAAAGACAGACACAGTAAGTAGTCGAGTGTTGGTTCAACATGAGTTCACCGACTCGCAAACCAAAAATTCTCATCTTCCATTGAAATGTTTGTTATTTATTTTATGTACACTTGTTTACTGTAGCTTGCTATTGGCCTAAATGGTTGTGGTCAGGATGATGGCCTCACAGTTAGACCTTTTTATGACCACACCCATACCATTTTCTCACTGCTCATATTTTTACCTATTGAATTTGTTAAAATTAAAAATCACTTCATTAAAAGAAACCAGACTTATTTACAACACTTAATCGTATCAATAAATTTCATTAAATAAGATTTGATCATATTATAGGTACTTTAATCCTCTAATATCATCATAAATATTAGATCTCATCTTAAATTTTGCCGAATAAATAACACAATACATAAAATGTTACAAACATTTTGAATTTTCTCTGCTAGTATTAATTTAACAAATATTTATCAGTCAAGGCTAGTTGTATGTTAACCCCGTTCAGTAATTAATTGCCCATTAGTATTTATTACTAAATCATTTGTCCTTGTTTGTAAAGTAATAAGTTAAATGAATCCAAGGTGAACCCATCTTACAAAACCATTCTAAACATTTAAGTTATGCTAAGTTAGAATTTTTCATCGATTTCAGGAGGGCAGGTCAGCCCCTGGGACCAGGTAGAAGTCCTGTCCGTCGACTTGGACGGGAGTTGCAGCCTGACTGGATTAAATGTCGACCTTACCTCACCTAACTTTACAAACAGGTTTGCCTAATAAATTCTTACAATAGTTTCCTTAAATAGTAGATTGTAATATTAGTTTCTGATTCTAGTGAAGCCCTTCTATCACTTCCGTCTCTTTCTGCTTTCAAGCAAGAACTTCTTTCACCCTTCCATGGCCAAGAGGGGTATATTTATTTAATATTTTGTATATCGGTTCATTTTCAAAGGTGTTTTTTATTTTTTTCAGAACTAATGGTGAAATAAATGTACCGGTTAATACATGCAATGAACCAATCCAACAATGCTATTGTGGTAAGTTTTTTACCCGATTTATTTTCAATTTAATACTCCAATCTTACCTTGAAAATAACTAAGCTGTACCCCACCATATTTTTAGAAGAGGCGAATGATCAAACGGTGTCGAAAGATTTCAAATTGGGCGAGCAATCTCCTAACCAAAGTGATGACAGCAGCAAGGCAGTGGTGTTATCAACTCCTGCTACTTCTGCCACCACCCCATCAGCTGAAGATTGCAGGTAAAACCCAACTTGACTGTTTAAATTTGACGGTGTGCTCAAATTTATATTCTTTCAGATTTCAGTACGTGTTGGCAGCGGCCTCTTCGATCGCAACCACAGTCAGCGAAGAAACGCTGACTTACTTGAACCAGAGACAGCCTTATGAGATCAAACTCAAAAAGCTTGGTGATCTGTCAGAATATCGTGGAAAAATACTCAAAGTATTGCTTGAAAGAAAGAAGTAAGTTTTATGTAAATAAATACTAATGAAATTTTTTTAAAAATTTAGAGTGTTCTCCGCCTATGCTTCCTGGAAAGAAAACTACAAGTTATGGAAAAAGAACTCATGTCGGCATGGGTGTCAACTCATCCAGGAGACTCAATACTTGAAGTGGATCACTCATTGTCCTATGGAATTTTTGGTCTGTCGAGTGAAAAGTTCAACTCAGTCGAATTTCTATGGGACCCGACCAAGGAGGTCGGCGTTTACATAAAGGTAACACCTCTATTATATAAATGTAACCTATCACTAAAAAAAATTCTGTTCTCAGGTAAACTGCATCAGTTCAGAATTTACTCAGAAGAAGCACGGTGGAGAAAAAGGTGTCCCTTTTCGAATTCAAGTTGAAACATACCACGGTGTAGGACAAGTTCGTAGACTCCATGCTGCATCGTGCCAAGTGAAAGTTTTCAAAGTATGCTTTTAAAAACTCATTCATATACAGATTGATACTTATGAAGTTTTCAGTTAAAAGGAGCTGAGCGCAAGCATAAACAAGACAGGGAGAAGTTTCAGAAAAGGTCGTTGGCCGAACAAGAAATTTATCAGCGCTCATACGAATGCACCGTGCTAACAGATGTAGGTTCACAGTTTGTCCATAAAATATTTGTTTGTTTATTTCTCTTGTAATTATGGAATTTCTGGGTTTAATTATAGATGGTGGTAAATAATGATAGTTATTCTTTGCCAGAAATAACTAGTTCATCTTCGCCCATCCTGTCTAGTTCAGATATGTAAGTCAATTTTTATTTATTTATTTTTTAAGTTTTGAAGTCTGTTGGTTTTGAACACACAACTTATGTCTTTGTGTGTTACTTCTTAACTTCTTAACCAGTTACATGAAAATACACAATAATAACACACAATGATAACACTGTTCTATAATTCTTTAAAATAATTTAATCAAATAGTTATTTTTTTGAAAATTATATGCAAAACTCAAATATATTAAAGGCAATTAGAAATTGGTTAGCACTTTTGCTTCTTCAAGATTCTCAATGTGCCATGCTTTAATGTCATATTATTGACACTTATAATTAGCAAATGTTACTAAATCAATTCATTCATGTTAACACTTTTTCTGCTGAAGACATAATAAGTCACGCCAACTTGCATTCTAAGTACAATGTATGCAGACCGTTTATTCCTTTCAAACAATCTCTCCTATTCACCCAACACAGTTCTCTTTGAAATTTCTTGAGCCGCCTCAAAAAGGCAAACATGTCACTGCATTGACCATTACAATTTTTTGCAATTGGAAGTGATTTTTTTAATTTATTCTATGAAAACCAAATTAACTTGTCTGTGTATGTGTTCGGTTGTTTTAATTAATTATTTATCAATTTTGCATGATTATATAAAATAAAGGCAAAATAATTTTAGAAAGTTAAAAAGACATTTATTCAAGTACACATCGAAATTGAACCAGAAAGCTATTTTTCCACCGTGGGCGACCAAAATATCCAATCATAGGCTAGGCTCGACATGTTAATAAATGCATGCTACTTAATTTAACTGTTGCCAACAGGGTAGAGGCATTAACTAGAGTTGGTTTAAGACATTTTCTGGTTCATCAGTCAAAATATGGCAAAAATAATGTGCTTTCAAGTGAAATCACTAATATTTCCAAGTAAGATTCATACATTCGACGGATTTAAGTTAATTCATCACCATGACAGTGCTCTAGCAATAATTAAAACATGGTTAGTAGTTTTGTTGGTTCATGTATCAGAGCATGCCAAAAATAAAGAACTTCAACTCAAATCACTGATATTTATTATTAACAATTGTTACTAAATCACTACATTCATCTTCATAATTGATATTTCCATGCATAGAATGAAGGTATTTAAGTTATTTTATAACTGCAACAGGGCTGGGGCATTAATTAGACCTTGGTTAGGACTGTTGCTATTTCAGGTGTCGGAACATGCAAAAAATAACGTGGTTCTAGTCAAATCACTGATATTCATTATTTGTGATTGTTACAAAATCACTATATTCATTTTCAAGAATGATATTTCCATTTAAGATTCATACATTAAAGTTATTTAAGTCAATTTACCACCACGACAGCGCTGTGGCATTAATTAGAGCTTGGTTAGTACTTTTGCTATTTCAGGTGTCGGAACATGCCAAAAATAATGTTATTCTAGTCAAATCACTGATATTCATTATTTGTGATTGTTACAAAATCACTACATTCATTTTCATAATTGATATTTCTATGCATACAATCATGGTATTTAAGTTAATTTATCACCCCGACAGTGCTATGGCATTGATCAGAGCTTCATTAGTAATTTTGCTAGTTCAGGTGTCGGAACATGCCAAAAATAATGTGGTTCAAGCCAAATCACTGATATTTGTTATTACCAATTGTTACTAAATCACTACATTCAGTTTATTATTTCCATGTTAAGATTCATGCATTCAACATATTTAAAATAATTTATCACCACAACAGTACTGTTCCATTCATTAGAGCTTGGTTAGTATTTATGTTAGTTCAGGTGTTGGAACATGTTAAAAATATTTACTTCAAGTACAATTACTGATATTTATTATTAGAGATTTTACGATGGTGGTAGCTATTTTGCCTTCTTCACTGTTTAATTTTGTCAGCAGTAGACTTTGTATGAAATTATTACCAGTGATGAATATATTCAGAAAGAACTAATTTATATTATCCTTTTTCAATTTAATTTATGGATATTTTGACTGACCCAATTATTGAGAAACATGACGTGTTGGCTATCTAAATAAAATGTATATGATATAATTTCATCTTTTAAAATGGCAGTTCATTCTACTTTCTTTCAAATCTATTTCCGGCTAAGAAGGCAAAATGCCAGAACGTTTTGAACAAACAAAACCAGCAAGAATAGTTATGTCCGGTTGATTATAAATGATCAAAATACATGTTTGCCAACCTGAATGCATTCTTTTTTGCGCGTTATTTTCTGATAAAACTGTTAAGCTATATTTATTTCTTTTTTCTGAACTGCTTGCTTATTTTTGATTAGGCAAATGGACATTTTTGGGCAGCGACTTACTCCCTACTGTCTAAATTGAATCTGTTTTTAACAGTTGATAAACAAATGTACCTGCTAACTTTAAGGTGGGTTTTCAAGTTTTCTAAGAAATATTTTCACTTGGGATTTCTAATAGATTTGTGTCGATACTAGTCCTGCAAGACCGAGGCGTCATCATGGCTTAGACTATCTCATTTCCGCAGGTTGGCAGAATATTTTTCTTTCAAGTCACTTTCAAATGTCAATATTTCACGAATTGCTAATGAAAAAATGGTTGAATAATGCATCGCATTATGTGTGTTTCGACATTAACGATTAATTTTTTTGCCGTTAAAATGAAATTGGACGGTTTTGTTGTTTCCCTCACTTGAAAGTTTGATCACAGATAACCGTTTAATTTAAGAAATTCTTGTTATTATAATAGTTTATTACTTTACGTTACACGGTTTGTTAACAATTTCGCTTAAGTTTTCTGAATGAAAATGTTTTTTAAAAAAACCTTGGAAAAAGAAGTATGAAACGATATTTTTGGCTGTTATTACGTATTAGTTTAAATAATTACTCTGGCTAATTATTTTTGCGCAGTTGAGTATGAAATACCGTTTTCCGTCGTCCGGATTTGTCCTGTTTAACCCGATTTATAAATTATCAAAGAAAATCTGTAATTGAACAGAACTTTCAGAAGAAAACGTTGATTATTATTTTAAGTATTACATGATTATGATTATGATGTGAAGCAGGGTTTGATATTCCCAAAGCACTGCATCCTTCTAGCTTATTGTACATTTGCTTAGTTCAGTTTGATTGACACGATCCTTCTTTTTAGAAATAGTAGTTCAATTGTCATTGCTGAAATTATTTTTCTCGGACTTCTTAGTGCTGTGTATTCATCATCATTGAGTATACCGCTGTGTATGTGTTTTCTCATATACTAGAAAATGGTATATAGCCCTATCATCACTCTTCTGATTTACACCCCGTCTAAATGTAGTGATGTGTGCCAGTTTTGGTGACGGTTCTTCTATCATGAATTTACTATGTCTAGAGTTTCTTGAGTTTGTCCATTTCTTCTTTTGTTTTTGGTGGATGAATCTTGTTATCCCGATTATTCATTCTGGGACTATATGTAGTTTTGCACTTCCTCCTCTCGCCGGTTTGTCGCTTGTTCATCACCCAGAATTCCTCGCACCCAAGATACTGTCACGATGTGTTTTCCCAGGTTTTGGAGATTGGGATATGATCTTTTCACGAGCTAATTATTTAGTATGGTTAGAGTTTATAATGCTTGGGATGAGGAAGGGACAGACAGACAGATGATGAAGGAGATCAAAATAAAATGGTGAGGGGGGAGAAAATGACAAACATGAGGTAAAAGACAGACAGACAGAAACAGGTACATATACTCATACAAACTTGCAGAGGCATAAACACAAGAAGGCAAAGAGAGTGAAAAGAGAAATAGTGAGAGAGGGAATGAGTGAGAAAGTGTGAGAGAAAGAGAGAGGGAAAGAAGAGTCAGAGAGACAAACAGACAGAGAGGAGATAAATAGATAGATAGAACAACAAAAAAATAACGCAGAGAGAAAAAAGAGAAAGAGTGAGAGAGATGGAGAGAGAGAGAAACAGATAGGCAGAAAAACAAAAGAATAACGCAGAGAGAGAGAGAGAGAGAGAGAGAGAGAGAGTAAAAAAAGAAAGAGCGAGAGAGATGGAGAGAGAGAGAAAAACAGATAGACCGAACAATAAAAGAATAACGCAGAGAGAAAAAAAGAGAAAGAGTGAGAGAGATGGAGAGAGAGAGAGAGAGATAGAGAAAAACAGATACGCCGAAAAACAAAAGAATAACGCAGAGAGAGAGAGTAAAAAAAGAAAGAGCGCGAGAGGTGGAGAGAGAGGGAGAAAAACAGATAGACCGAACAATAAAAGAATAACGCAGAGAGAAAAAAGAGAGATGGAGAGAGAGAGAGAGTGAGAGAGAAGCAGATAGACAGAACAATAAAAGAATAACACAGAAAGAGAAAAAAGAGAAAGGGTGAGAGAGATGGAGAGAGAGAGAAACAGATAGACAGGACAACAAAAGAATAACGCAGAGAGAAAAAAAGAAAGAGTGAGAGAGAGAGAGTAAAAAAAAGAAAGAGCGAGAGAGATGGAGAGAGAGAGAAAAACAGATAGACAGAACAATAAAAGATTAACGCAGAGAGAAAAAGAGAGAGAGAGGGAGTGAGAGAGAGAGAGACAGACAGACAGACAGACAGAACAACAAAAGAATAACACAGAGAGAGAGAGAGAAAAAAAAAGAGAGAGAAAGACAGAACAACAAAAGAATAACGCAGAGAGAAAAAAGAGAAAGAGTGAGAGAGAGGGAGAGAGAAAAAGAGGCAGATAGGCACAGAAAGAGAAAGAGAACTTTTCAGATTTAAGAGCGATATACTTCTAGATTGTTCTATACAGTCCCAGTTTTACCCATTATTAAAGTTTTTAATCATAGCCGTATCCACCGATTACGATACAATTATATACCTGAACAACATCCACAAATACAGACTAAAGCCTTGTACACAGTCGATTGTCTATTGAGTCTAAGCAGATTGGCCAATTCCTATGGTCAAAGCAATGTGTATACAAATATTTGTCTCATTAACACTTTCGCTAACATCACCTTCACTTCCTAGGCGGCCATAGTTCAGTCGGCGAGGGAATTCCTCGGGATGCGAGTTTTTGATGGGCTGATTTACAGCGGTCGGGAGGATTTTGCGCCATTTGCGATAACGCGAAAATCTTGAATGAAAATGTAAGTCTTTATGTGTAGTTAGGTTCGATACATAATGAAGCATCAAGGATTTTTCGTAAGACTAAGGATTGGGCGGTTTGAACGCGGCATGTGTTGAACTGTTTAGCTGAACCCCACACCTCCATTCGTCCAGTCGTAAGTCCATATCAGCTTAACTATGGTGTTGCACAGCAGCCTTTTGTATTTGAAAGGTATATTTGCCCTATATACAGAGTGTTCGGCTGCTCGTGTTACAAACTTCTCCAGTAGATTCTACGTTCGAAATGGAACCAAAAAGTCCTAATTAACTATGATCCGAATCCCCGCAGTTTCAGAGTTATTCCGCTTTTTCTGAATTTTGAAGATTTCACGACCTTGCTTCAAATAAACAATGATAACTCCAAAATTAAGAGGTTTAGGACAAATCCGTTTGTACCTTTGGAAACTACGTTCAATTTTCAATAAGATGTGATCAATACTAACCCAAATAAAATAAAAAGTTTAATAAATTCATTTAAAATTTGCTTAAGTTTTTTTTTTTAATTTTCCACCTTACCAAACTGTCAGCCACGGTTTTTTCCTTTCCTCCACCAATTTCTTCATCTTTCAAAAAAGTAATTAAAAAAGAAATTACACCACTAAAAAAAATATTAAATGGAGTGTTTTCTGAAATTTGATCGTATCTAGGTTTGGAAATAGTAGTTTAGAATAACCATAGTAAATTTTTCAACTTTGAAAAAAAAATTTCAAAGTTCTCGCTACTAAAATACTTATTTCACGAAGGTATACAAGTTTAATATTGATCACATCTTATTGGAAATTTAACGTAGTTTTCAATGATATCAACGGATTTGCCCAAAACCTTTTAGTTTTGGAGTTATCATTGTTTATTTGAAGCAAGGTCGTGAAATCTTAAAAATTCAGAAAAAGTGGAATAACTCCGAAACTGTTGAGATTCGGACCAAAGTCAATGAGGACTTTTTGTTTCCATTTTAAACGTAGAATCTTCTGGCAAAGATTGTAACACGAGTAGCCGAACACCCTGTTTTTAATATGGCAATCAGTACAATTAAGTTTGTAAAGTTTTGCGGTGGATCATTCTTTCAATTTATGCCGAAAGACGTGCTGTAACTCCTTCAAACTGATGATGAGCGTTTAATGCTTGTAATCCGGATCGTAACAACAAATCTGTGAGTAGAACCATCATTTACAAGAAGTGAATCCACTTACCCTAACTTCATCATTTCTGCTGTTTCCTTTTTTCTATTTATTTAATATTTCACTTTTATATTACTCTGTCCTATTTTTTTTTTTTTTTTTTTTTTTTTTTTTTTTTTAAATAAATTGCAGTTTCATATTATTTACACAACATTTTATTATAGAAATCTGAAAGTTGCTAGATTCCACCTTCACTATTTAATCGTCGACGTCAAATTTTTTTATCCTTATTTTAATATTTTATTTTACAATTTGCTATGTAATCGTGTATGTAATGTGTTATTGCGTAACAATTGATTTTTAGGCCTTCTTTCACTGCGTCTATAAATTTTTTCGTATGGTTATTTTTGGTTGGAAATTACGTTTTTTTAAATGTGGTCTCTTCGTCTATGTTGTTTATCTCGAAACATTTTAACTAGGGTTTTCGTTATTTCTATTTTATTGTTTTATTATTATTATTTTAGTGTAAAGAGATTTGGCGAGACGCGTTGTAAATAGCGAGGTAAAAGAAGGCATCTTGCGGGGGAGGAAGTAGAACGCGTTTAGCTGGTGGGGGCCGGGATCGAACTGGCCTCCGTTCTAGTCGAGCTGGTCTTTACCGGATATGACCAGTTTTATTCGTTCCGACGCTAGGCGCTGTTCTCTCCTCCTCTGGTTTTCCGTGATATTTTATTATTCCTGTAGTGAAAACTCCGATATAAACTGCAAGGCGAACATCGCGACGTTCCTCATATATGGCATGTCGCACCATCTCAAATACGGTATGGATTCGTATGCCGATCATTCCCAAACGGGACAGCCACTCTGGGAAAGTTTCTCCAGCTGACGACAAGCTCATGTTGACTCTGGACGTTGGTGTCAAAAAGAAGTGATTCAGTACCAGCGGAATCAGTGTCAAGCCGAAAGACTTTTCCGTCCCTACTCGTACCTGTTAAATTTTTGTATTATTCTAAATCATGTTGTTAATCGTGCACGCTTTTACAATGACTTTGGGCGGTTTGGAAGTGAACACCCTGTCGTTTCACGGCGTACGCCGAAAAAGGAGCGGGCTTAAGCTCAGCCTCCTCGGGAGGCGTTTCGCCGTCAAGAGGTTGAAGAACAAAGGTTCGAGCAAGAAACCGACTTACAAGCACCGGCTCAAGGCCTTCGGCTACAGGCCACACAACGACACCCATAAACTAAAGGACAATCGAAATTTTTGCAGGGCCGGATTCAGGCAAGTGCTGACCAACAGCCCTTCGACCAGCAGAGAAGAAGCCAAACCACAATTGGACTTACAAACTCCTCCAAACAGCCCTAAGCAGGTAAATAAACTATTTATTTTTTTACTTTGTAGCTATTTGTGTTAAACACTGTACTGTAAGACCAAAATTAAAATCTGGTTAGAATCAAGTTAATCATCGGACTTGTAAGAATGGATAGACAAATTGAAAAAAAAGTTAATCTTATTCTCAAACGTTTAAATAATTCGTTTATTCCTTACTTGATGTAGAATTATGCATTATTTCATAATAAATATATTTTACGACAAATCAACAGAAAAAAAAAGATGTCTGATTCTATTAGCACGTTTGAAGGACCTTGAGTAATCACAAATCTTTGATGAATTGGATAAATCAAATCGTGTCAAGCTGAAACGGAAAGTTTTCCCGAACTACCGGCGGTAAGATCAAAGAAATCGGTGCGACAAAGCGAGGACCGTCGGCCCCCCGATGTCATTTCCCACGATTCCGACTCGAACTGGTTTCTGATGCACACCTTGCGATCAGTGACCTTGGCTATTTAAAACTGCACACATCGACCTAAATGCTGACCTACCGCGAATCTGACCTAGAGTCTTAACCAAGGCTTTATTTTTCCCCGATGACGCTGGTTACCCTTAACTCTTTCTTTTCCATTTGGAGTTTAGAGATTTCTCACTTTAGCATAAACTTTTGTCTAGAACATTTTTGTATATTTTACTCAGTAAAGAATTCTTCTCAGGGTTGTGGTATCAAGATTGTACGTTGTTAAGGATGTTATGGATTATGGTTTGTTTTCTGTCTTCTAGACATAATCTTCCATTGATAGTCTCATTTTTTAATATGGTACTTTACTGTTGCATGTTATATATATTTATACCAGTTTGAATTTGTAATTTATTTATGTTAAATAAGATTTCGTTTTTTTCCCCCATTTTGTGCGTAGTTTTTTTGGTTGCTGCAAGGCATACTTTCCCATTGTCTTTACTCAAGATTCCATGGTTTTTATTTATGCCACAAAAGGAATTTGGGCCTACTCGCTAGGCTTCTTTTTTTTTTAGCAAGTACATCTGCTTCATCATTGCCTGAATATCTCCCATGACCTGAAACCAATTTAGTATCTGGTAAATACAAGTTTTTTTAAGGCATTCAAGGAGTTTCATAAAAGTTTTGAGTTCCGAGACCTTCGACACAAATGCCAACCTGACCCAAAGTCACAGGGATTTTTCCTTAGCATATAAATTACGTTTATTGGGATCCTGGAAGGTGTTTGTATTTTTTACGAGGTAAAAAATTTTTCTCACTGGTATGATCTACATAGCTCAAGAACAATTTTCCCAGTTAATTTTTCCTAGGTATTGCAGGGCACTTGCATAGGGTGGTATTAGTATGGTCTGTTGTTCCTTTCTCTTCTAGAAATAATTGGCTTTGATCCTCTGTTGATATTCCCATTTTTTAAGGTGGTTCAAAGAGCATGTCATGTATGTTCATACATGTTTAAATTTTTAATTTCTTTCTATTAAGTAGGATTTACCCTTTCTTCAGTTGGGTAGTATTTTGCTTACCACAAGATACATTCTCAGTATTTGTTGTTTTCTTTACTAACACAAGATTACAGTTCTTTTTAAGTATGTTTTTATTTATGCCACAAAATGAGCCAAGGCTAACTTTTTAGTAAGTATTTTTACTGTCATACTGCCTGAAAACCCTCATCACCTCAGCTTTTTTAGAGCATTTAGGCAGTTCCAGTCAAATTTTGGAAAGAATCCCAGGTCCTGGAGATGATCTCAATAAAGATCGAAACGGCACGATAAAGAAAATGTTTTTCTAAAACCTACGTCGCACCAGACCACATCTCACAATCTCCGAATAATCATTAAGAAATAAAATATACATAGTTCTTGAAATTGGCACAGGATCATCAAAACATTGAAAAACTTAAATTTTATTAAAAAAGTAACTTTAGCAAAACTCCCTATAAAAAGAAATTTTTCATCCATGAAAACCCTCATCACCTCAGTTGTTTTAGAGCATTTAGGCAGTTCCAGGCAAATTTTGGAAAGAATCCCAGGCCCTGGAGATCAGTAAAAATCGAAAAGTTGGCACAATAAAGAAAATGTTATTCTAAACACCAGACCACATCTCACAATCTCTGAATAATCATTAAGAAATAAAATATACATAGTTCTTGAAATTGGCACAGGATCATCAAAACATTGAAAAACTGAAATTTTATTAAAAAAAGTAACTTCAGCAAAACTGCCTATAAAAAGAAATTTTTCATCCATGAAAACCCTCATCACCTCAGTTGTTTTAGATCATTAGGCAGTTCCAGGCAAATTTTGGAAAGAATCCCAGGCCCTGGAGATCAATAAAGATCGAAAAGTTGGCACAATAAAGAAAATGTTATTCTAAACACCAGACCACATCTCACAATCTCCGAATAATCATTAAGAAATAAAATATACATAGTTCTTGAAATTGGCACAGGATCATCAAAACATTGAAAAACTGAAATTTTATTAAAAAAGTAACTTCAGCAAAACTGCCTATAAAAAGAAATTTTTCATCCATGAAAAAAGTCAAATTGAAATTTAATTGATGCCCCATCTCTTGTATGCTCGATGACACTTCAGCACCACCTGGGCAAATCAGGAAGTAAAAAAAAAATACTTTTCAGTATGTGTGTGATTAGTGACCGTTAATCGATATTTATTTAGAAATCGTGAGATGCGGTCTGGTGATGTCACTTGGTCCCAAACATTCCATTCCTTACAACAAAACAGATTTTCCAGTAGCAAAATTAATTACGGATGTAGACTATGCAATCCAAAAATCCACACAAACGGTGGAAGAAAAAAACATAACACGATCGAAATGCATTAACACAATAACAAATCACAACACCTCACTACAAATCAACACAACCTATCTCAACAAACATATACCAAAACCAAAAATTTTCTCAAAAATAATCCTGACATACTCATTCTTCTGCTGATAAGACCAAACAAACAGTAGCAATCAGTAAAAAAGAGTACAAGGAAAAAATTGACAAAATTATCACAGACACAAACACATACAGCATAATCAAATCAGACACTACTCCTATTCTCATCAAACAGACAAACAAAATTCTCCAAGAAACGCTTAAACGAAAAGATATCGACATATACACCTACAAATCACTTCAAAACAACTCACCAACACCCTCGAAACTATATGGATCTGTAAAAACACAAACCCGAACACCCTCTGAGACCCATAATTTCATATGTAAACTCACCCACATATAACATGACAAAATACCTAACCAACATACTCAAGAACATCACAGATAACATATAATGTAAATGATTCATTTCATTTCATTAACAAAATTAATAATATCCACATTCCCTCACACTACTCTCTCATATCCCTAGATGTTTCATCACTGTTTACCAACATCCCAAACATCACACCAGACCGCATCTCACGATTTCTAAATAAATACTTTTCAGTATTGAAATTTTAAACCTTTGGTACAAATCCAAGTAAACAGGTTTTCTTAGCTTTTTTTAATCTTTTCTTGATTTTTTGGCCAGAATTGAGTTTTCGAGTTAACAAATATAAGAATAGAATTGTCAAAATCGACTTTTTGAGATGCCCAAAAAGGTTCTGGGTTTAAAACGAAAAGGTTTCCTTCTCAACTTAATCAAACAAACTCTAGAATGGATCACGGCTGAGTGGTTTCTGATTCATATTTGCCACACGAGTGGTTCTCGGTCCAAATTCCATCAGAACATGGCTTTTTAATTGATAACTGTATGAAAAATGTATTGTAATAACCCTTATCTGTGTTCACTCAACAAGTAATGAGACATTAAGCCTGACAGGAATAAGCACTTCTCTTATTTTGTCAAAATTTGACTTCTTCAGTTTTGCCTGAAGGTGCAGAAATATGATTTTATCGGAAAAACATGGAAAAAATTTAAAATAATCTACATAATAATAAATAGATAAAACCAGCAGTAGACCAATTACAATCCATTTCCTGGGTTATCATTTTTAAAGTTCTTTTCATATCAGTAAAGCTCAAATTGTAAATGTTAAATGAACTTCAACAAATCAAGTGTAAAAATTGTACATACTAAATAGTTAAAACTATATAATCAGAATTAATTTGAAATATATTTTTCTACAGGGGTTTGAGGTAGGCAACGGTACCAGTCAGTACGACTGTGTGAACGCAAGTTGGGGACCTCAACAAGTGGCCCTTTGGCTTACTTTAAACCGGTACGGCACACACATCCACCAGACCCTGTCGACATACTCTGGTGCTGACCTACTCCGCCTTTCTAAAGAGGACCTGATACAACTGTGCGGCCTGTCTGATGGCATACGCCTACACAATGCCATTCATTCCAAGTACGTTCATTATACTACTTTTTATTTGCTTAATTTAATAAATTAGACTTTTTTCTATTTTATTCCAATGTAAAACTTTAAAGTTGTAACCCTTCGGACTGGTAATTTTTCTTAATTTAATGTCTAAAAGTTTTATTACATGAGCTGGTAGTAAAAACACAAATTGTTTGGAAATGTAACCCTTTACAACACATTGAATTTATCATATGTAAACAAAGGGTTTTTTAGATATCATTCTGTCTAGTTTATCTATCTCATACTTCTGGTTAAATCTGGTCGTAGATAAGGAGGAATCCGGATTAGTTTATATCACGACTACATGATGATTCTTATTTAAACAAGCCGAGATATTTTATTTTCGTTTCAATTTTTACATTTGCGGCCGTTCTTTCCCAGATGCATCATACCAAAACTGACGTTGTACATATGCATCAACCAAAAGGAACAAGTGTACCAGGTCATCTACCTGAAATCCCTGACAAAGTTGGAACTGCTCGTCAAAATCTGTCAGATTCTCAAGATAGACCAGGTACAGGTCTCGTCAGCGTACCTGCAAGGGCCGAACGGTATTAGGGTGCTGATGACCGACCAGCTCATAACGCACATCCCCGATCATACACTCTTCACCATACACTTATCACACGGTGAGACGAACAATTTAGCTTTTCTTTTAATGTATAAATTTAATTTTGAGTATAAATTTCAATTTTTTTTTTAGATGGGCCAGATCGTTACGAACTTCTTTGCAAAGAATCAGAAATTAAATCCCCAGTGTAATCCTAAATATTTCCATAAAAATATATATTTTTTATATTTTAATAATTAAAATTGTGGACCAATAATGAATAAAATAATGACTATTTGTAATATAGATAACAGTTTTTGTCTGTAAACTCTCATCGTGATAGGACGAGATTAAGCACAATTATTGAACTCAAACTTGTGAAAAATTCTTTGCATAACAATATTGACAATAAAATATCACCTACTTATTTGCAATTATTGGTTTTTAAACAACATGTAAGTAAAAAATATTTTAATCAATCAAAGATTGTCACATTGTAAAACAAGGAATTTTATCTTTATTTCAATAGGTACTTATTTTGCTTTTGTTAATTTTATAATTGTGTTAGTATATAGATAGACTTATATTTTAGATCATGATAGTATGAAAAATTTAGAATTGTTTTGATTTTATTAACTATCAATGCCACAGGTCTGTGAGTAATTTTAGTTAATTTTGGGCACAACTATTTTGCACGCTAGTCAAACGTCAGACTCCAAATCAAAAATTTTTCCTTCAGCTTGTTCTTATTTCATATAAGCCCGTTATTTTTTTTTTTTTTTTTAAGTTATCCACCAGTCATTCCTGTTGCCCAGGAGTGTTTTCAAAATTTACCGTTTGCATCTTCTTGGTTTAGGAAGTTTTCCTTATCACTTTACAATTTGAAGTAAGATGAATAAAAGAAATATATTTGACTGCGTTTTTTTATTCCTTAATGACATGTTTAGACTACTGATTTTTCATTGATCAAAGTCAAGAGTCTGATAGAGCAGCTGCGATATTTTGGGGAAAAAAAATCAGCAACTTTATAGACATAAAATTACCTGAGGTATGTTACTGTGTATCTCAGGTGCACCACAGTGGTCGTTTTAAGTAGGATCTTATATCATTTAAAAACTAATAAGCCTGATTGTATGAAAATATTCTATCAGTGAATATCTAGCAATCACATTATATGATTTTTTTACTTTTAACTTATTTTTATCAGTCAGGTGTGGCTGTTCCCAATAGATATCCAAATTAGTCGTATTGAAATGTGTGGTGATTAGTGACCGTTAATCGATAATTTTCTGAATAATTAGTCGTATTTTTGTGTTTCATACTTCAGTTCTTTGAATTTCTGCCAGGTCTTTGAATCTTTCATAACTCTCAGCAGCATTAATCTCTGTACTCTTCTTAACATTTGAAAAATATGTTTATTGCTTTTGAAGTGCTATGTGCATTTTAGAATCATAATCCAATGTTTCTTTTATGTCCCTAGAGATTAGCAACAAACTTTCTTTAAACCTGATTTTTCCATCTACAATGTACATATTGTAAGTTTTTCTTTTACTGGGTTTTCATTCTTTTCCCTTTGTCCTTGCAAACAAGTTTATAAACTGTATGTCAATATTAAACAATTATTTTATTAGTTTTTCCAGTATATTTCTTGGATTTTGCCTGGTAGACAGAATGTGCCTCACACTTTACGCTTGCTAGATGGAATGATGGCTCAGGAGGTGTGCATTTTCCTAGTTTCTATCCGTTTTGTTCATGTTAAATAAATAAAAACAGAAAAAATGAGTAAACATGGAATAATTAGGATTTAGTTTCTAAAATAAATCAACTTTAAAGAATGTATTTGAGAGACTGACCTGTGGCGTTAAGGTTGAAAACTTTTTTTAACGTATACTTTAAACTGTAATATCTCCAATCATAAACTTCGTAACTGATTAAGTTAGTTATTAGCTGAATTATATTTTTAATTATTTTTTTTTAAATTTGTTTAGTCTGTTGGTGGGTTTTTATTGACAAATTTTCCTCCAAGCAACAATTTTAAAACTGATATTAAAAACCAGAAGGTGATGCAAATGAAAATAAAAGAAAAAAAAATTATAAATTGAAACCATAAATATTTTTTCATTTGCAAAATATATTAACTAGGAGCTTCTTTTATTTAAACTTAAATAGAAAAACAAGAAACTTAAAATTTAATGTAATGTGAGAATTATATAAGCCATAAGGCTAATGAAAGGGTGGATTTTATGTTTTTAGTACTTTGTTCGTATGTACATTTTTATTTTTATTTTTAGCTAAAATAACAGTTTAGTCTTGACTTTATAAAATTAAATATGGAATATAACATTAAAATTATTTTGTTCAATTTGGACTGTATTTGTGGTAAAGGGTTTATTATTTTGTTAAATTTTTGTTTTGTTTTTGAGATTTATGAAAAATGTTAAATAGTTTAAGTAATCAAAATGTTAACAAAAGACCTTCAAGTGTCTTTTTAATTGTTACCTGACATATTGATAATTTATAAGGGAATTTATTTTTATGTATTGTTATTAATCGTAGTCTGCTCAATTAACTCGTGACTAACAAATAAATTTTTAGAAATAGCTAGACCTACTTTTTTTTTACCTTAATACCTAAAAACCTTAATTAATTGTAATATATTAATTGGTCAAGTAGACCACGAAATTAGTTAATTTAATTATTTAAAATGAAGTATACTTCATTAAAGCTCTCCATGGCCATTTCATTTGTCGTCGAGAATCCAATCCGATTACACGACATTTGAAAAATGGCAAAAAAGGAGAAAAAATTAAAAAGGTGTGGTTAAGATGGGAAGTTGGTTTCCGAGTGGATCGAGGTCATGATAGCTCAAGTGGTAGAGCAGCGGCGTATCAAGCCGAAGATCGTGGGTTCGAATCCTGCTCATGCCATTGACTTTTTATCTCAACTAAAAACCTTAATTAATTGTAATATTGGTCAAGCGGACCACGAAATTAGTGAATTTAATAAGTTAAAATACCTTCACTAAAGCCCTCCGAGGCCATTTCATTTGTCGCCGAGAATCAAATAGATTACACGACATTTGAAAAATGGCAAAAAGGAGGGAAAATTCAAAAGGTGCGGTTGAGATTGGAAGTTAGTGTCCGAGTGGATCGAGGTCACAATAGCTCAAGTTGTAGAGCAGCGGCGTATCAAGCCGAAGATCGTGGGTTCGAATCTCGCTCGTGCCATTGACTTTTTTATCAACTAAAATCCTTAATTAATTGTAATATATTAATTGGTCAATCGGATCACGAAATTAGTGAATTTAAGTTATTATTCCATTATCTGATTATAATTTCAAATAAATGTTTTAACATCTTATTATATTCTAATAATCCTCAAAATAAGTTCAAATTCTGTGAAAGTGATATTTTGAGTATTGTAAAAATAATACAAGAAACAACAAACCTGACTTCCAAATTACATGCTAGCCATGGTCGAACTTAAGAAATGAGTAGTACATGTGGCCTTGATCTAAATTAACTAAAACATACTTTTGAATAAATAGTTTTGTATGTCAACAAGTATATACTACAGCACAAAACTTAAAAAAAAAAAAACACTATTTGACAACTTAAACTTTGGCTGGATACGACCTCTCGTCAAAAGTACTTTACATAATAATAAGTTAATAAGCATCCTCTCACTCAGACTTTTGCATTCCATATTATGGTGGGATTTGCAGCTTTTCCAGTTCTTGTGCCGATAGAAATAGATCACGAGGGAATAAATCTTTTATCATGTGAAAATTACTTCCTAATATTTTTATTGCATATTTAAATCTAGATAATACGACAGAAGAATCAAAAGGAGTCTTACCAGCCTCAGCACAAAGGCTGTGGGCTTCTTGAACAGAAAGTACCCAACACAAGTTTAATGCCTGAATTAAGCACCTGATGCAATGCAATGTAACAACACCCGACCAAAATCCAATGTCCAGTTTTCCATAAGATTGTATTGCCCGATGCCACTCAATGCTACTCTACTCTACGCTACACGATGCAATCCCAAATTTTTGTCTGGTAGCGTTGAGTACGGTCGAAGACAAAAGAACCACACTCATATTTTTATTTGGAACTATATGAATTTTTGTTATTATACACTCAAAGGCAAAAAATTTCGCTCAATTGATTTTTTTTCATTTTCTTGATAAAAGACAATTTTGCCCTTAATTTGTCTAATTGTTTTTACCAATTAATATTTGTTTATGCTGTGTTTTAAATTGGGAATATCAATTATGGTTCCTTAATCCTTATTCCAAAACAAGGATAAAGGACTTTTCAATGTTTACTTTTTACGGAATTTAAAATGTTTATTCAGTCTCATTTGAATCCGGAAGCAAGCGGCACCTTACTGTCTAAGTTGAAGTGATTCATCAGCTCCAGGATGTTCAACGTGTTCAAATTTTTGAACGCACTCTTCAAAGTAGATTAAATCAGTATGGACTGATGGCTTTTTGCCCCGTAAGAGGACCAGAACACACGGCTCCCATTTGATCGAGAACACAGCCATTGGTTTTTGGATGATTGGTGTACTGTACACAGATGAATGTAGATTTGCTCAACGATCTTCAGATGGGCGTGAAAGAATGTGGAGAAGAGAAAATGAAAAGCTTGTAATTTTTCCCAGAGCCAACCTTTTCAACGTAGCTCTGTGATAGTGTGGGTGGGAATTTCAACGGAGAGTCGCACAGGGTTGGTTGTTGTTCGCAGAAGGGTCTTAGATAGCCACTCACTATGAGGAATGAAAATCACTTCCCTCAATGAAATCAGAGACCATCCTATTCTAATGCTGGATAATACTCATCCACATGTGATTCGCATAGTACAAACGTACCTTCAACAGCATAACATCAGTATCTTAGCCTGGCCAGCTCATTCTCAAGACTTGAACCCCATCGAACATTTATGGGATAACCTCAAAAGACGAATAAGAGCACGTCCATCACTTCCTGACAGACTTCACAATCTTGAAAGGACTTTTCTTGAAGAATGGGATAAATTCCAGCAAAGAGACATTTCCAGACTGGTAGAAAGTATGCCAAAGCGTCTTCATGATGTAATTAAGGTAAGAGGAGGAAATATGCAATATTGAAATGTTAATTAAAAATCTGATTCAAAATTAAAACAAATTTTATCTGTCTTTTTTTAATTTTTAATTTTATTTTTCATTTTACTTAGCAATTTACTTTTTTTAAACTTTTTTAGATAGTAAATTATTTAACGTTAAAAAACGAGAAACTTTGATTAATATTTAAAAATATATACAAATCAAGTTATATTACAAGAGGGCGGAATTTTTTGCCTGTCAGTGTATTAATTAAAACATGATTATTTTAATGTAAACCAAATTAAATGAGATTTAAAAAAATCGCGAGTTTTTATAAAAATTATTTATTTATAATTGTTTGGCAAAAAAATTATCAAAACACCAGAAAACCATTTATTGATAGAATGAATTTAACTAACAGTCATTTCACAGTTTTGCTCATAAAATGTAACTAAAAATTTATTAGATAGTTTTACTCAAAAATTTTAACTAACAAGTTATTGCACAGTTTAATAATGCATTAAGAGCAAAAGAGTCATTGCGATTGTGATACTGTCGTCGGCATGAGCTTCACATCGAACAGACATACAAACCCTATGAAAATGAGACAATGCATCTGGTGCGTTGCATTGTGTCGGCTAAGTGTGCCCCGCTTTAGGCCTATTATTTTTATATGTTCATTGGCCTAGTTATATGCTTACACCATAATCAATTAGAGATCTTCACCTCTTCATTCAAATATTGTGGTAGTCTAAAAATTTTTAAATGACACAGACAATGAAAAGTAACACCAAAATTGAGACCAATATATGAGAATCAAATAAAGGATTGGAGTTTATAGCGCCTTTTCTATTGTTTTTAATGTTGAAATACTAAATCTAGGCATCTCGATTAAAAGCTGCTTACACTTTATCAAATAAATCAGAAGTGTTTTTATTTTTGCTCAAAATGTAAAACGAGGGGGGAAGTCAAGAAGTCACAGAGAACGCTTGTTAAATCTATTCCACTGATTTAAAAAAAATTGGAAGGCATAAAAGAACTTTAAAAATAAATAAAGAGGTGAAAATTTAAAGTGTCAACTTTATTTATGGCCACACAAAGCACTTAATACACATTCATGCGGTAGCCAGTATTTGTTGTGCAGTGGGAAGACAAGGAGTCACAAATAACATATCCTCACTGGATTGGTCTGTCAGATGCATCAGCAGTTTGCCATCTTCAGTGTGTCTTGAGACGAACATTGAAAAAATTTCAAAAAATCTGTAAGTATCAAATTGCAGGTTCATCATCCCACTGAATTTCAATATGGACATGAAGCTAAAAGTATACTGAAGGACATCGCCAACAATGAGAAGATACTCGCATCGGCTCTCAATCAGAGAACTTTTTTGCTGAAATGCAGATAACACAAGGCCCTGAAGATGATCTCAATAAAGACCGAAACGTTGGCACGATAAAGAAAATGTTTTTCTGAAACCTACATCACATCGACCGCATCTCACGATTTCTGAATAATTCGAACTATGTTTATAAATCCCCGGCGCTGAAGATGATCTGAATAAAGATCGAAACGTTGGCACGATAAAGAAAATGTTTTTCTAAGCCTACGTCACACCAGACTGCATCTCACGTTTCGATCTTTATTGAGCCCATCTTCAGGAACTGGGATTTATAAACATGGTGTAATTTAAACAATGTTTATGAATCTCAGGCCCAGAAGATGAGCTCAATAAAGGTCGAAACGTTGGCACGATAAAAGAGAATGTTTTTCTAAACCTACGTCACACCAGACCGCATCTCACGATCTCCAAATAATCATTTGAAAATAATCTTGGAAACTGAATGGCTTTGTTCACACTCGCCCGGCGCGCGACCGTGCTGCCGCAGTCACCGGACCGTGATCGTCGGATTTCTTGTTGACGATATTAAGTTTTCACGGCCGTACAACTTTAACGCCGTAAAGAAAATAGGGATGACAGCACTATGACTATGCGAACAATTTTGCACGACTGGCAAGTGTTGACGGTTTAGCCTACCTGTCCCTTTTGTACGGTTGAGTTGATTTAATTTAACCACTTCAGTAGACCGATTAAATAATAATATATTTTACAGAATGGTAAAATGGTTCAATATTAAAAACAAAAATATAACATATGAAATATAGAACAAAACAAAGGAAAACGTATAGTAATAATAAAAAAAATATAAAATTTTTATTTGCATTGTATAAATTCTTAAATTTAAACAATGTTTGTAAATCCCAGGCCCTGAAGATGATCTCAATAAAGAGCGAAACGTTGGCACGATACAGAAATACTTTGTATATAAAAAATATTTTTTGCATGTATAAATTCACTTTTTTCTACATCCTACGTGCATTTCTTAAATGTAACAAAGTTTGTAAATCCCAGGCCCTGAAGATGATCTCAATAAAGATCGAAACGTTGGTACGGTATAGAAATACTTTGAATATAAAAAATATTTTTTTGCATGTATAAATTCACTTTTTTCT